AAGTAAGCTCGAATCAGGCAAAGCTACGCCAGGCTCCTTAATATACCGCTTGCCATATGCAAAAGACAGAATTTTACAATCAGGAACATTCTGAACGCGTGACAGCAGTTTGATAAGTTAACTCCACTCAAAAAAATACTGACTTCCTCTTCGGCCTCCTCTTCGTCCGCTTCCCGAGTGGTATACTGCGCAACTTTAAACGAGGAAAGGTATTCGTTGCTCCAGTGCTCTTTCTTCTCGCCCGCTTTTTCCTTTGGGTCGTCAGCCGATCGATCCAACAGAGCTTCCACCGCCTCGTCATCCCAAATAATCTCCTGCTCGCTAGTCTTCTTTTCGCCTTGCTCGCCCTCAGTGGTTGTTTCGTCTTCCTGTAAAACAATAATTTATATGATAAGCGGCACTGCCTTTTGAATGAGCGTACTTCTTTGCAGCAACCGCTTAAATTCATCAGCTTTTGAAGAAAACGCCAAAAACAGCAACAGAAACAGGCAAAATATGTCATCGCAAAAGTAATAAAGAGAACTTTTACTTTTAAAACTTCATAAAAAAGTATGGCCATTCTGTAACTAAGCGACGATCAGATGAGCTGATATGTTAACAGTATGATCTGTGGTAAAAAGTTTTACTCGATCCATGACGGCAAGCCTACCTAAGCACTCTGTATGTTACGAAGAGATTTTTAGCAACTTGTCAAGATTAAGTTTGGACGATAACCACACACAATAAAGAGCCAAAGAAATGCGTCCTAAAAGACTGTCCCTGGAAGCCCCAAACATACCTTGAAAAGCTCTTCGGTGCCCCAGCGTAATACTTCGTCCAATTCACTTTTGCTCATCGACGGTCCCTTTTGCCCTATGCCAGCACGAACGACCAGATGAGTCAATAACATCTTCTTCTTTGCCACAGATGTAATCCGTTCCTCCACTGAATTACGCGTAACAAACCGATAAATGAGCACTTTTCTCTGCTGTCCAATACGGTGCGCTCTGCTGAACGCCTGAAAACGAAACGAAGTCCATGTCAAGTGACCATAACTTGATCGGTACTGCATCGTACGAAGGGAAAAAGAATTGCCTGAATATCATTATGTGGATTCCAGTCAGAATCATATATGATAACAGTATCTGCAGTGGCCAAATTGATTCCCAGTCCACCTGCTCTTGTTGACAACAGGAATACAAACTGCTGCGCATTTGGAGCTGAAAACAATACTCAGCGCAGTGCATTGCCGAGATGTGTCACAAACATAGCCAATAACATTGTTTGGAAAAAAAATGAACGGAATGAGGGAAAAAGAGTGAATGTGACGCTGCCGACAACAACGATTGTTGACGTTAACAAGTACTGAACGCAGAAATTGACAAATGCGAAGGACTAGATGCTATAAATGTATTAGTAGCAGGTGTATGTAGAGTGAATGTACACAGGAGACATAATAAATGTGTGCTTCATTCCATTCTCAGATCAAATAGAAGCAGAACAAGGGAACAAAGAGAATCGGGCAAAAATCTGGTTAACACAAAAGTACGCACCATTGAATCGGTCGATTGCGTCCTGACGTGCTTGTCCAGTGATTGAGCCATCGATGCGCTCATATTTGTATCCTTCATTTTCACAAAAATCTTCCATAATATCCAGCATTTTGGTCATTTGAGAGAAGATTAAAACACGATGTCCTGCAAAATTCAGACGTATGAATGGCTTCCGTTAATTAAGTCAAAAAACTGCTGTAATTGAGAAGCGCACCCACCTTGATCCTTTAATTTCTTCAGCATCTTCTGCAACAGCACGAACTTCCCGGAGGCTTTCACCAGCGCGGCGCCTTCATACATTCCATTCTTCAGTTTCGGTGCCTCGATGCTAGCTTTTGGGAACAAGTACGGATGATTGCAGCACTTCTTAAGGTCCATAATGATGTTAAGAAGCGATATTTGAGAACCACCTCCTTTTGGACTTAGTGCTTCGAAATTCCGCGTCAGTATGTTCTTGTAGTATTTCCTGAATGCAGCAGCATAAGTAAAAATCGAAAAATGTGTGAAAGGCAATAATAGGGACAAAAACTTACTTTTGCATTGAGGAAAGCTCCACACGAACAATGAGTTCACTCTTAGACGGCATACCAGACAACACATCAGTCTTCAAGCGACGCAACATATGCGGACCCAGCAAGGAGTGAAGCTTCTGGATCTGATCTTCCTTTGAAATTTCAGCAAATTCATGCGTGAACGAGTCCATATCGCTGCAAACAAGAACGTGAGAGAAGTTACTGCAACAGTTCGAGAGAAAACAAACCATGAAAGGACCGCAGAACTCACTAAAATCTTTCAGGTGAAAGGAAGTTCAGCAGATGGAAGAGCTCTTCCAAGTTGTTTTGCAATGGTGTGCCCGTAAGCAACAAACGGTAGTTAATTCGAAAATCGCGTAATGTACGGAAAAACAACGACTGGTTATTCTTCAAACGGTGCGCCTCGTCGACCACTAAGCCAGCCCATTCAATTGAAGACAGGATCGTCTGCAAACATCGGCGCTAAATCAGTGATACGGGAAAATCGAAAAAGTGAAAATCACACTGAAAAAGCATCGACTAACGCACCTTATCAATATTGATAAGCTCGTAAGAGGTGAGCAAAACATGGAACTTGATGCCCTGATCAGTTTTCATACGCGACGGTTTCACTCCACCTCGCACCGCTCCTTCGATGAATGAAAACTCGTGTTCCCTGAAATCAAACCTCGGCAGTGTAAACCGAAACAAACGTGTGTCTGAAGGGCCACTGCACAACTAAATGTTTACCGAATAACAGTGCGGCTATCCTTGTCACCAACATATGTGACGACGTAGAAATCGGGACACCAAAACTCAGCTTCGCGCTCCCAGTTGATCAGTGTTGACAGTGGGGCTGCCACCTGCAAACACGTGTGACTGGCGAGTGTTTTGTAGTTTCATGCAAAAAATACTTCAGCGGAATCGTATTGTTTTTCACTTAGAAAAACATTAAAAAAAAATTTTTTTTGCGGGTATTACTGCTGTTAACAATAAGAAAACGATCGAACCAGAAACGGGCCCCGCGTGTGTCCTTCTTTTACCAGCGAGTACAAAAACACCATCGACTGAATTGTTTTCCCGAGGCCCATCTCGTCGGCCAGAATTGCATCGGTGCCTTGGGACCAGCAGTGGCGCAGCCAATTAACCCCTTCCAACTGATAATCGTGCAATTTGCCACTTGTTTCGGTAATAAAATCCGGCTGCGTTTCATATTTCTTCCGAAGCTGCAAATCCTTGCACTTATTTGGGATACGCCTTGCAGCGCACATCAGTGAAATGATATGAAAAAAACAACAGCAACTCACGTCGCTTTTCGGTTCCCTCTTTTTCTTCTTTCGGCTGTCCTCCTCATCCTCATCTTCCTTATCCTTGCCTTCCTCTACTCTTTTCAGAGCTATTTTCTTCGCAATATGCTTCGGAATTACATCACCGTTCATGCGCTGTCTGAAAAAAAAAAAAAGGAATTCATATGTCTTAACAGGTCCCGACGCACTCAAAAAGGACGAGATTTAACGTTTTAAAAGTGAAAATTTACCGTTTTCTAAATCCAAAATCCTGGTTAAGCCGCATTTTTGGAAGGAAAAATGAATTACCTATGAGTCCAGTACTTCATAATCGCTTCTTCATAGCCCATAATATCGAAGTCATCGCGCTCCCAAGTGGCCTGCTCGTAAACCAGTTCCCTCCACTTCACCAGATAATCGAACTGTGTTTTCCCATACTGCACATGATTGATAATTCGATGTACTTGCATCCATTCCGGTTTTATACCTGGATTAATGCCGGCGTCAGGAAAGCATCGAAAGATGGCCACATAGAAATATCAAGAAATAAATAGCCGTTGCGCACTGGAGGAGCCGCTGCGATCATGCATTTTGTGCAATTCCGTCCACCAGACGACTGCCTGTTAATGATCTCACTGCTTTGCACTTTGGTCTGCGCGGAAGTAGTTGAAATGTTGTCTGTTTCTTAAGTTATACAATTTTAGCACCGGCACGTAAAAGCTGAATTTGAAAGTTCAAAGGGAAGAATATCCTCCCATAATTTCAACTTCTTAATTTTCTCGCGTTTAAGTGATTTTTGCGGCAAACTTTCACGTGTTCGTAAGTGACAGCTCGGTATACACAGGAACTGAATTCATAGTTTTTGAACCCATGTTTAGGCAGGAAACACCCTCTGAAATTTTCGGCGTCCCAGCTCTTCTGGCTCAAGAGGTAATGACTTTTCTTGCCAAAACTTACACGCGGACATTGAAAATTTGCGAAGTCGTAAGTGGGCAGGGGATATCACGCTAAAATCTCAGCTTTCTAGCTTTTGCAGCTCACAAGGTAATAATTTCTATATCAAAATTTTCACTGGACCGTATGTGGTACCTAGGGGTGCGTGAGTCCAAATTTGTGGGGCCGCACGTTGGTAAAGGACATCACCCTAAAATCTCAGGTTCCCAACTACCGCGGTTCCCGAGATAATAATATTCACCGCCGATACGTGATACTCGGGCATGCTGGACAGCTGAATTTAAATTTGTGAGATTGTATGTGGGCGGGGGACATTACCGTAAAATTTCGGTTTCATGGCTTTTATGGTTCCCGAGATAATAATTTACCCACTAAAACTTGCACAGAGCCGTAGGTGGTACCCGAAGGAGCGGGAATGCTGAACCTGAATTTGCAAAGTCATACATGCGCATAGGGTCATTACCCTGAAATTTCAGCTCCCTAACTCCTTCGGTTCCTAAGATGATTTTACCCGCTAAAATTCTTACGGGGACATACGTGTTATCCGCGGATAAGAGACGGTTGAATTTAAACTTGCGGGGTCACACGCTAGCGGGGAACACTCTACTAAAACTTCAGCCGCTTAGCTTTCGTGGTTCTCGAGTTGAAAGTGCGGGACAAAACACACAAACACACAAAACCCCGTGACAATATGCACTTTGTACTGCTGTTGCATAGCACAAAACGCATAAAAATTACCGTAGCGGAAAAATCGCTCCTCAAGATTGTGTGGATCCTTCTCCTTCTCCTTATTTTCAATTTTTCCAGTCTGAAGATCTTCCTGACTACCGTCATCAACTTCCGGTGGTGTTTCAGGATCCATCTTGCGCCAAAACATCCGCAGAAACTGGAAAAGTTACAATGAAATTGCATACTTTTTTAAACACATTAAAAATTACTAAAAAAATGTATTAATAAAGACCTATTCCACTTTTTTGTGCAGGCCCTCCCAGAAGTTTACTAAGCATCATTCTCCACTCTCATGCACGTGGGATGAAATCATTCAGCTTTGAATTCTGTTATTCCAGTATGTTTTGATAGAAATGACTAGTGAGAGAGAACGGCGAAAGAGGTGTTACAATGTGAAAATATGATGCTCTGTACACAGGGCATATGCCTAAGCAAAAACTCGTTTTAGTTTGCTGACTCGCACAGGAGCAGCAAATACCCGTCTATTCAGTCTGCTTAACCAGACTCAAACTAAACCTTCACTTACGCACGAGAGAACCACGCGCTTCAAAAATGTATTTGAAATTCGCACAAGGACACAGAATATCCTCGTAAAATTTCAGCTTTCTAATTTAACTGGTTGGTGAAATGGTTTTTCGCCACAAATATCTTTGAAGCGTCCAAATACACTACACAGGCATGCATGCCAAAGCTTATTTTACTTCCACATCCCACGTATGGACAAATATAGTCGCGAAAACGAGGCATTCAGCTCAGTCTAATCGACAAGCTGCCAACTGCAATTCAATTTTGATGTGTTCGTACGCCTGATGCAGGAATGCATGACAGCGAATTTGAAATCCTTTGCTCCCATATGGGCAGAGAATGCCCACACGAATTATCAGAACCCTACTCCCCCTGGTTCCTGCCAAAAAACTACACGTCTTTAGGCATCTGCACATGAGACTCAGCGTAAGTAAGCGCCGAATTTAAGTTATTTGGATGGCACGTGAACTAAGAACATC